CATAGATATCTCCCGATTTTGGTAAATTTCTATGAATATCGGTAAAATTCTAATTATTGCAACAAATCTAATACGAAGAGGCTAAAATCTGTAGGTACGGTGTGTTAATTAACAGGGGTGAGAAATTGACTGAGTGGTGATATAATTATCGCTAGGGGTGAAAATCTCGGCGACGGTGTGTTTTCTGTACCGGTGTGTTAATTAACAAACGGGTTAAAAACGACTGACACAGTGTGTATTCTTTGTTTGGTGAGTTTTCTCGAAAGCGTGTTATAACTGCACCAAAGGTGTTTTATCAAGGACCAACAGGCTTTATCTGACGCGTAGGTGTTAAATCCAATCTACCGTGCGAAATCTTGTTCGACAGTGTTTTACGCAGATCGGTCTTTGTTAAGTGTAGGTCTTTATACATGGATTTATACGTCCTGTAGTTACATTTGTTCGTTCTTATACGTATTTCATTTCTTGGTGAATACTACGTGTTTTATACTTCGTACCATAGTCAGGCTGCAATTATTTATATATTTGTCTTTTTGTGGGTTTAATTTGTTTATATATTATCGTGCGTACCACTGAAGTATAAATGAACGTTATTTACCGATAACCGGACCAGCTTCCATTGATATCAGACTAACGAATCTGTTTCGAAAAGCAAGTTTATAAATATAAAATCGAGCAATTGATGAAAAACTATTGGTTTCGTCATGTCTTTATTTACTACACGTGGGCGTTTTAATGCATAAATATATTTTTTCTTACCTGGGTTCTAAAAAGGACTATCCAAGAAAAATTTAATTTCCACATATATAACAAATGATAATTCACATATCAAATAACACTAATGCAAATAGGGACATGCGCCGGCGGTGATATTGTCCATTGACCTTTGACTTAATATGGAAATAGAGGCTTTACAAGAACAGCTAAATTTAAACACTTGTTAATATTCTATTGTTGACGATTGTATGAAATAGCTTTATTATTTTTCTCCCGGTACTAATAAGCTACGGGTCGAGTGGATCCAATTTTTATTATGTGATTTATCAACGTGATGACAGATCGAGAGCACGGGCTCCATGTGTCTATTTATAAAAGCATGCAATCACCTTTGGAGTTAGCTTCCAGTCTAAAACGACTTTAAAATCTCTTTTGTTATTTCGGTCGCTTTATTTGAAAAGATTTTCATAATATGCCGTAGTAATTTGTGATTTTGTTTTTATTGTAATTTCGAAATCTAAATATTTAATATTTATTCTTGGGTACGGGTTTAGAATAGTGTTATAGCATGATTTATTGTTAAAGATCTGTTAATTCTGAAACAACAATTTATTGCTGTAGTGATCAATTTCAACATTTTCGTTATACATGTATTCTAAAGTCATAGTTTTAAACTTAAATAGCTTCATTTACAATATTTCCTGCCATATATTATGCTAAATTGAGTCCCACGTCATAAAAGTCTTCAACTATTAGAACCGTGCATAGCACACATTATGTCCAGAATTTGACGTTTTAACAGCTTAATTATTAAATTTGATAAAGAAAACTATTACAGAACAACAATAATTTCTTATACACCTTTGATGTAATTAATTGTCCGTTTGACAAATTACGGTTTTGAAATAGGATACACAACACATCTATATTAATTTACAGGGTCATATTTTGAATTTTAATAAACCAAGGTTCATTCAAGAAAATTATTGTTGTATTCTGATAAATTAAGTGTACCTGGGCCCTGTTTTTCGAAATCTTAACTAAGATAAAACACATTCACTAAAATTGTTGAGCTGGGGCAATAATTAATTTATTGCCCCTAATAAAGTCTGGCAATTAACAGTTGTTATATAACATCTAGGTCAACGGTGATCCAAGTTGGTGTTCAGCGAAGCGTACTTCCTGCTCTGATGGCAGTTTATGTTGTAATATTATGTGACTTGGAAATACGTTCAATAATTTAACAAATTCAAGAAGAAGAAGAACAACCAAAGGCATCAAATTTTCACATACATGTATTTCCAATACGACAATTTTTTTGTTTTGAAATATACTGTAGAAAAATAACTTAGTCCTCTAACTTAAGTACCACATGATAATAATGTAATAGTTAGTATTTCATTGTATTTAAATCTTATAATCCCTCTTGTTGTTTTCAAGTATCGTGAATGTATCGGAATCGAAATCCCAGATAGGATATAAATTTTGATATTATATGTAAGATATGCTTACAATTATACTCAGTTTTGATATTATTTGTAAGATATGCTTACAATTATACTCATACTCATCGATCACTTTAGAGAATTTTGGCGATGGTAAATGTAGCAAATGGTGGACCACCTTATTCTCACTCGATAATCGTCGCTATTTGATTCATTCTTGCATTTCCCATCAATGGTGATAGTACAATTTGAAATAATAATATCCGATTAGTCATGTTTGTATATTTTACAAGCCGTATGAAGCCACGGTTTAACTATCAAAATAATTGATTCTCTTCGAAAAGAATTGACGGCCATTTTGAATATTTCCTTCTAGCTCACTCTTAAATTCCACTTGTTGACCATGTTTCTTTTGAATCGCCCTAATATTACACAAAATGTCATTATTGGAGCAGAGCTAATACGCATCGAAGGGAATGCTTCGGCCCATATCAACTGCCAATTAAAGAAAAAATAAATACAGCAGATAATTTATACGTCACAATTTAATTAAAACATTTTATATATGAAGGCATATGCATATATCAATAATGTAATAATAAATAATGGTATTGCTTGTACTTTTGTCTTGTCTATTTTACTTGTGTGTTTGAACATTTCTCTGATTATAATATCGCTTGGGCTGGGGTTTTTTTCATTTGAGATACTAACCGAAATTTCCTATGAGAAACAAAATAAATTGTATACATGTTGATAAAATATCAAGCTTTATTCAAATGAGATGATATAGAAGTAAAACATACATTTATGTCATTGCAATAAGACCAACACTGAATAGACCACAGTATGTCATTCTTGAATTAAGTGTAACAGGTAAAAAGAGTCACACTCCATCCAACTATTTCAGCAAATCCATTAACAGTGTCGCCTTTCGGTCTGAGATCAAAGGGGGTCTGAGATCAAAGGGCAATATTTCGTGTGAAAAGCGTGCTCTCCGGATAGTATAAATTCTATAATAAGGATGAGACTGAATCTTGTCTGCGATATCACCTTGGTGGAAGCGGACGTAAAATACAACTAACTAACAACAACTGAGACTGAATCCACTGTACCTGTGCTTTATCCAATTGCAAACGATGGGAATATTAAGTGATGTGTTTAAATTTAGCTGTTCTCGTAAAACCCATATTTCCATAGGTCGCGATCGTAATAGGTCGGAATTGTGTATGCCAAGACAAGCTTGTTACACAAAGTGTGATGGAATCAGAGCATACCAGAATATGTTCGACGATCAGCTCCACGTGTTGGAGGCAGACATGAGTTCCTATTATTAGACATGATTAGTGTTATTTGGTTTGTGATTTATCTATTGTTATATAGTGATGGAATTCTGTTTCCTTGGATAGCCCTATTTACGACCCAGGTAAGAAATACATTTATAAAATATAACGGTGACGAAACTTACAGGTTATCTTTAATTGCGAGATTTTTTGTTTAAAATTGTGCTTTCAAAAAAGATTAGAGCATTTGATATCAATAGAGATTAGAATATATCGGATAATCAAATGAAGATTTAGCAGGATATCGGTAATAACGATATTGCATGCGACTGATTTTAAGACACACGCATTGGTACGCACGATAATATATAAACAAATTAAACCCACAAAAAAGACAAATATATAAATAATTGCAGCCCGACTCTCGATCTGTCATCACGTTGATAAATCACATAATAAAAATTGGATCCACTCGACCCGTAGTTTATTAGTACCGGGAGAAAAATAATAAAGCTATTTCATACAATCGTCAACAATAGAAATATTAACAAGTGTTTAAATTTAGCTGTTCTTGTAAAGCCTCTATTTCCATATTAAGTCAAAGGTCAATGGACAATATCACCGCCGGCGCATGTCCCTATTTGCATTAGTGGTATCTGATATGTGAATTATCATTTGTTATATATGTGGAAATTAAATTTTTCTTGGATAGTCCTTTTTACAACCCGGGTAAGAAAAAATACATTTATGCATTAAAACGCCCACGTGTAGTAAATATAGACATGACGAAACCAATAGTTTTTCATCAATTGCTCGATTTTATATTTATAAACTTGCTTTTCGAAACAGATTCGTTAGTCTGATATTAATGGAGGCTGGTCCGGTTATCGGTAAATAACGTTCATTTATACTTCAGTAGTACGCACGATAATATATAAACAAATTAAACCCACAAAAAGACAAATATATAAATAATTGCAGCCCGACTATGGTACGAAGTATAAAACACGTAGTATTCACCAAGAAATGAAATACGTATAAGAACGAACAAATGTAACTACAGGACGTATAAATCCATGTATAAAGACCTACACTTAACAAAGACCGTTCTGCGTAAAACATTGTCGAACAAGATTTCGCACGGTAGATTGGATTTAACACCTACGCGTCAGATAAAGCCTGTTGGTCCTTGATAAAACACCTTTGGTGCAGTTATAACACGCTTTCGAGAAAACTCACCAAACAAAGAATACACACAGTGTCAGTCGTTTTTAACCCGTTCGTTAATTAACACACCGGTACAGAAAACACACCGTCGCCGAGATTTTCACCCCTAGCGATAATTATATCACCACTCAGTCAATTTCTCACCCCTGTTAATTAACACACCGTACCTACAGATTTTAGCCTCTTCGTATTAGATTTGTTGCGATAATTAGAATTTTACCGATATTCATAGAAATTTACCAAAATCGGGAGATATCTATGCCCTAAACGTACAAATCTCACTCTTACTACTTCTCAGTGTTAATAACATCACAATAGGTTTATGACTGGTAGCCTATATATAATACATCACTGCACAGCTTCATATATATAAACTCTATAAAGCTAGAAATTGCCAGAAGTCACTACCAGCTTCACTATATGGACAAGACTAGTAATTATTTCCCCTTATTTCATGATGGACGAATGTAGTGCGAGTTATAAATAGACAATTTTTCCCTTAATTTTTTTCTCCCCTCTTCCTGCATTTTTAGGTTGACTTTTTGGTCTAGAATTGGAGAAAAGGGATCAAATTTGCAATTTCATAGCAGTTTTGGGTAATACTGATGATATTACAGCGGAGGGATAGGGGGTGTAAAGTGTCTTTCTGCAGAGCAATCATTGTGTCGGAAGTGAGATTTTCACCACTGTCAACTTCAAATCCGTGTAGCAAAAAATCTAAACGGTCAACCCCCTACAAAATTATGATGAGGAGATTGCCAAATGCTGTCCCCATTGTGCCTATAAAGATTGGAACCAACGGAATGTTGAGCAAAAAGCTACAGCCTGTGATGTTACAGTCATTTAACATTGAGGTCAATGGACAAATAATTGCTAGTCTGAGTCCTGATGATATAAAGAAGCATGGCCGACTCGGGATGTTGATATTTTTTCAACGGCTTATTTCCTGAAGTTTTGAATGGAAAGTGTCAGAAATGGTAAGAATACTGCTTTTTTATTGCCCAGCAGTAAGTTTTTTGACTATTTGGTATCAAAATAGCCATGATTGGGGGTATCCGTTGGTTGAGTGTGAACTTTGGGTTGTAAATGTGTAACATTTTGTTCACAATGATATCAAAACATGGTTAGGTCTAAATATTAAGGCCAACTCAACTGCAGATTTGGTCTAAAGTCATGAGATGTAAACAAGACTGACCCTAACCCTAACCCAAGACCCAGTCCTTACCCTAACCCTAACCCACAATCTTGTCAAAAAGCATGTAGCCTAGGCCTAAGCCAAGACCTAGTTCTGACTCTAGCCCAAACCCACAATTGTGTCAAAAAATCATGTGCCCTAACCCTATTTACATGTTGTGACCTTGAACTAAGTCTGCATTTGGCCTTAACATTTAGACCTAACATGTTTTTGACATCATACAATGAAATGTTAACATGTACACTCCAAAATTCACACCTGTGTGACTTTTGACCAAACATGCAGTTGGCCTTAATATTTAGACCGAACCTCAAAACATGGCATCTACCTTTGAGATTGGCTTAGACTTATGTGACACTCAAGGTTTACTTTTTTACTGATTGTTAACTGGTTTCTTTTTGGAGAAATAAAGAGGTTTATTTCTATTTCCAGTTGAAACCATATTTTTTTCTTATTTTCTCACTGTTTTTTATTGCATATTTATCCCCAGCCTCCTATCATTTCAGGTGCCAGGGTAATGTTTCATAGAGTGGAATGATTGACCTCAACACAAGTATTAAAAAAAAAAGAAGCAAAACAGGTGAGATAAATGTGCATTTCATAGACTTTAAGAAGTACATCCAACCTGATCCCCACTTCTGCTCACTAATAGTAATGGGCTGGAAATTTGGTACTGCACAGGCCTGTCTTCTCCCCTTGACATTTAACTGAATGACAGAATTCCATATTTTGACCATTTTCTGGATGTCAATGACCGTTTCCCTGGATAGTATTCGCCCCAGAATTCTCATTCTCATCCAAATTTAACATTTCAGGTCTACATCTCAAAACCTGATGTCTTCCTGGACTGGCTTTAGGAGAACGATGATGCATATCAATTTCATCCCTGATCTCTATGACACCTGTGGTGGAAGTGGAGGGCAAATCGTAATCAGTTTGGGTTCCAGCCCCGAGGACCTCTGTAAACTTTGCTTTTTGGTGATGACTTAATTTCTGAGCTTGAAAAGGACGCTTGTGTGTTTATCATGGCCTCTCATATTGGAAGATAACATTAATGGCTTGTGTGTTGATCGACGGTTGTGCATATCTCTTGGTCAGGAAAGTTGTAGGCACCATCGCCATTGTAAATCATTTGACAGGCCTGAGTGAACAGGGCGACCTATGATTGGTCAGCAATGTACCAGATTCCATACTGGGGGGTGGGGATGAAAAAACTGTTGTGGTGTTACATAATCAGATTATTTCAACTTACTTATCCTGTGGAAATACAGCTATATAGGAGGTATTTTGAAATTCATAGGCACTACATGTTTCAACATCTTAGATTTGACCACAATTTGGCACTTGAAACTATGTTAACAGAGAAAAACTGTGTGGTTTTCGATGAAAGTGTTAAAAGTCTAATATTGCATCATGATTACTGTTTTAAAGTATTTTTGTGTTTGATTTATATTTAATTCATCTCATCTTTTTGAAGAATGCATTTATGTTCAAAAATAAAAAATGTTCTGTGGAATTCAAAATTCATGTGCTTTTAAATTATCAGATTCCAACCTGGGGGGTGGGGATGAAATGTTTCAACATTTTAGATTTGACCACAATTTGGCACTTGAAATTAAGATAACAGAGAAAAACTGTGTGGTTTTCGATGAAAGTGTTAAAAAGTCTAATATTGCATCATGATTACTGTTTTAAAGTATTTTCGTGTTTGATTTATATTGAATTTATCTCATCTTTTTACAGAATGCATTTATGTTCAAAAATAAAAATGTTCTGTTTAATTCAAATTTCATGTGCTTTTAAATTTCTGTCTGAAATTCCGCAGTTTTCTGATGTATTATAGTGTTTGCATATATGTTTGTTTATTAGATAACAACAGATTTGTTTAAACTGCAGAAACATGTGAGGTATATAGGACTAAGACTAGTAATTATTTCCCCTTATTTCATGATGGACGAATGTAGTGCTAGTTATAAATAGACAATTTTTCCCTTAATTTTTTTCTCCCCTCTTCCTGCATTTTTGGGTTGACTTTTTGGTCTAGAATTGGAGAAAAGGGACCAAATTTGCAATTTCATAGCAGTTTTGGGTAGGCCTAATACTGATGATATTACAGCGGAGGGATAGGGGGTGTAAAGTGTCTTTCTGCAGAGCAATCATTGTGTCGGAAGTGAGATTTTCACCCCTGTCAACTTCAAATCTGTGTAGCAAAAAATCTAAATGGTCAACCCGCTACAAAATTACGATGAGGAGATTGCCAAATGTTGTCCCCATTGTGCCTATAAAGATTGGAACCAACCGAATGTTGAGCAAAAAGCTACAGCCTGTGATGTTACAGTCATTTAACATTGAAATCAATGGGCAAATAATTGCTAGTCTGAGTCCATATAGTCCAGGCATTTATAGTAAATAAAGCAAGAATGCTATATGTGTATGCTCTACTGAACACTACACGTACTAGGCTGCACAACAACAAAAACAGCCATTTATAAATTATAAAATACATACCACCAGATTAGATAAATTATAGAAGACATATTGACATTGAAAAGGCCATTTATTCATTAAATGACACATATTTGAATTATTTAAATGACAGATAAGATAAGATAAGATGTTTATTGCATCAAAACGTCCATGAAGGACAGCATATATATACACTTAGACATAGTCATATACATTCAATAATACATATTACATAGACAACTCAATACATTCATACAAACAGTATACTACATGTACAACTGTACATGTATATCAAATAGTAAGTGCAGGAGGACCGCACTACACGCAAAACAAAAATCTACAAGATAAAACTGCGGACAAGACAGAAAATAGACATTGCACCAAAAAAACAAATATCAAATCAAGTGAATGGAAGGGGTTTCAGTTACATGTAGTTGCCACCAAATTTGATTTAGCTCTCTTATCAAAAGCCAATAACACATATAAAGCCACTGCCTTGGCAATCAATTTTGGTGGTGTAAAGAGATTAATAAAATTGTAGGAAATCTTATGATTTATTGAGAAGGCTGGGTATAAATGGGCTTGGCGTATTTCTTCATACTTGCTACAGTATAGCAAAAAATGTTGCTCGTTTTCGATCAAATTTAAATCGCAAAATTTGCATCGACGCTAATCAGCAGGAATTTTTTTGTATCGGCCCCTCTCTATTTCTAAGTGATGCGTACTGAGTCTAAGTGTGGTCATAGCTTTCATATGATCTCTATTTTTAACCGAATATAAATAGTCTGGAGAGTTAAATTTTGATTCGAGGGATTTCTTTATATTCTCTTTATTTAGCAAATGAATATGATTTATTTGGAGTTCCGAAGTTAAACTATTGATTGCGGCTGACGAAGATAATTTTTCATTTTTAGAGGATATAGTTTTATCTTCAGTATAGGCTGCTGAAAGTAGAGGAAATATCTGTTTCATCCTGACATCGTTTAGCCTTTTATGATACATAAGCATGCAGGTATAAGTGTCTAACGTTAGTGGGAAGATTCCTAGTTCCGCAATACATCCAAGGTTGGTTGACTTAAGTGGTTGATTCAAAATGGATTTGCATATTTTTATAGTTAGTTGGTTTAGATTAATTTTTTCCCATTTTTGAACTGCAAATTTTTGGCTGTGCACCAATTCAGCTCCCCATATATCAGAGGCGTAAGTTGCTATTTGTTTGATAATGGCCTGGTACAGTTTGATCAAGACGTCTGTAAAGTGGGTTTGGAAAATATGCTAAATTACTTTCATCATAAATATTACAACTAATAACACAATATGATAATGATTCAAGCACTGGGTAATGGAGACAGAATAAGGTACGTGCTATGATTATCAATTAAGTGCAATGATGTGACATTCATTTACACACCATTAATATACTTAACAAACTTTCTTACAAAATATCTATCTTACATATATGAGCAAAATTAGTAAACCTCTGATCAAAGATGGGGGGGGGGGTCTTTCACCGCCTCATAAAATACTAATGAAATACATATTGTCATAAAATAACAGAAAGATAATAATAAAATCTATATATAGGGTGGGCAGGGAGAGTTTCTAACACATGCAATTATCATCACTGTAATCCAGGTATCATTTAATCTTGTGTATCTAGCTCTAATTTCTTTCACATTCGTTTAATATCAAATCTTTGTTTAAAAATTAGTAAAAATACCAAAAATCATCTAATTTGTACTTGTGTCCAGTTTAAAGCTGACTGATTAATTTTGATAAAGAGGGTCCAATGTGAAATAACCACAATTTACTGTGCTAGTCAACCATCAAACAAGCATATATGTGAATCACACACTGTGCGAATCAACCACCTTAAAACTTGCTTTATATATACTAATGTCCAAAAGAAAGTATACACACTAAAAATATGACTAAGTTTTATTTTGATTAAAAACATTTGAAATAACATTACTGGGTTTGTCTCTTGCGTCCAAACTCAATATTTCTAAGCAAAATAAACAAGCGGTTGCCATGCAAGATACGCCCACATTTTGCAAGAGATGGACAGAGAACATGCTCAAAAAAAAGAAGTGATTTTTTCGTACAATCAAGGGCCATAATTCAGGAAGTTATGATCCAATATGTGCAAATATAGACAGGAACCAAGATCTTTGGGTTATAAATATGTATTTCAAGTTTCATCAAAATCGGATCAAAACTGTGACCTCTATAGGGTCCACAACCTTGATATACCATATTTTTACGCTATTTGAGAACGAACGGCGACCATTTTGTCTGTCAATTTTGGGCCAATTTTCACGAAATTCGAACTCTGTCGTCCTTAGGGTGTAACGGTGACATTATAATACGTTTTTTTAAATCTGATAAAAATTATGACCTATATAGGGTCCACAAGCTAAAAACGCGATTTTTCGTACAATCAGGGACCATAATTCAGGAAGTTAAGGTCCTATATGCGCGAATATCGAAAGGAACCGAGATCTTTGGGTTATAAAATTACATTTCAAGTTTCAACAAAATCAGACAAAAATTGTGACCTCTATAGGGTCCACAACCTTGATATACCATATTTTTTACGCTATTTGAGAACGAACGGCGGCCATTTTGTCTGTCAATTTTGGGTCGATTTTCACGAAATTCGAAGTCAGTCGTCCTTAGGGTGTAACGGTGTTATAATAATACGGGTTTTTAAACCGGATAAAAATTATGACTTCTACAGGGTACACAAGCTAAAAACGCGATTTTTCGTACAATCAGGGGCCATAATTCAGGAAGTTACAGTCCGATATGCACGAATATCGAAAGGAACCGAGATCTTTGGGTTATAAACTTACATTTCAAGTTTCAACAAAATCGGATAAAAATTGTGACCTCTATAGGGTCCACAACTTTGATATACCATATTTTTACGCTATTTGAGAACGAACGGCGGCCATTTTGTCTGTCAATTTTGGGCCGATTTTCACGAAATTCGAACTCAGTCGTCCTTAGGGTATAACGGTGATATAATAATACGTCTTTTTAAATCGGATTAAAATTATGACCTCTATAGGGTCCACAAGCTAAAAACATGATTTTTCGTACAATCAGGGGCCATAATTCCGGAAGTTACGGTCCGATATGCGCGAATATCAAAAGGAACTGAGATCTTTGGGTTATAAACTTATATTTCAAGTTTCAACAAAATCGGATTAAAAATTGTGACCTCTATAGGGTCCACAAGCTAAAAACGTGATTTTTCGTACAAACAGGGGCCATAATCCATGAAGTTTCGATCCGATACATGCCAATATCGAAAGCAGCCGAGATTATTTTGGGATAAAGCTATATTTCAAGTTTCGTCAAAATCGGACAAGAATTGTGACCTGTAGAGAGTCCACAAACAAATTGTGGACCGACGGACAGGGGCGACGACAATATACGTCCACATGAAAATGTGGGCGTATAAAAAAGCGAAACAGATTGACATTGTACCCAAATGCCGCATATGATGGAAAACGACTTTGGTTGATGCAGCACGAAATGCACAGTGTATACTTTCTTTTGGACATCAGTATATGTAAGGCACCTATGACCAGGTAAACATTACAGATTAGCCTGAAGCCTAATCAAAGTCAACTCTGTAATTATATTAGAGAGACATGGTTTCATAAATTATTATCTATTGTCCAGTTAATCCAGTAGACATGAATGTATTAAAGTTAGGGTTACTAAGAAACAAAGCTAAAGGTATAAAAGTCCTGAAAATTGTATATTGAAAAAAAGGCGAGTTGACCACAGGCAGGCAGCAGGACATATTGAAGGGCAGGTCTCTGATAAGTTTTTTCTTAGATGCTGTTCCTTATTAAGTTATCTAGCCTGTGGGTCATTATTATATATATATATATATATATATATATATATATATATATATTATTGTTTAAGTATTGTTACAGAATATAAGATTAGACCAAGAAGAAGTGAGTTGTTGAATTATTGTATGTTCAATCTTACACTTTTTAGTCCAACCTTCGACGATGGGTTGTATGTTCAATCTAATTGGGGGTGTAAGATTGAACATACAAGTCAACCACCAAACCCGCTTTATATATGTAAGTCACCCACCACTTTTTCTTTGTATACGAGTCAACCACCAAACTTTATATATGTGAATTAACCACAATTTACTGTGAGTCAACCACCAAACCCCCTTTTTATATGGGAATCAACCACCACTCTTGCTTTGCATGAGTCAACCACCAAAATCGCTCTGTGTCTGTGAGTAAGCCATCAAACTCACTCTGAGTTACCTCAA